GGCTATCAATAAGGACCGTTTTAGAGCTCACCCTAAATTTCCTGAACTCGACGATTTTTGCCCGTTGAAAGTCGATGTTTTAGAAAATGCATCATGATTTGATCATTTTTCTAACTTATACCAGCCTGAATATGTGTCTCAAGGCAAAATTTGGCGTAAAATACAGGTTTGCTGTCGAATGCCGAAACATCCTCATTTCTTGCCAAAATCTGCCTTCAGACATATGCAGGGCCGGATTAAAGAAGTGGCAAATGGCGGCAAATCTATAGGGGGCGGCAAATTTTGCAATTTTTATAATGTAGGTATAAAAAAAAAATTCGGATTTAGAAAAAAAATTACAAACGAGAAAAGGCGACAAAATCTCTAATTTACTGAGAGTATAGTAATTTCTACTTTTGTCGTCTTTCAGTGATACAAGAGGCAGCACCTTTAATTAGTCGAGTTAAGGGAGAAACCAAACACGCAATTTGGCCTGGAACGGCGCGACTTACCTAGAGAGAAATGATGACGAGGCTCTTGAGATGAAAAGGAGAAGCCCTCGGCGCGGCGATCGGCATGTAACACATATTAGCGCCTACAAGACTGCACGAATACTTCACGCATTGCATCAAACACGGTGCGGTCATTGCGGACAGCGTGAAACGGATAGCGCCTACAAGAATGCATGAATACCTCACGCATTGCGGCAAAGACAGTGCGATCAGCGGGAGACGCATAGCGCCTACAAGACTGCGTGAATACTTCACGCATTGCGACAAACACACTGCAGTCTGCGAGGCGCGGCGGAGGAAGTTAAAATCATTAATCCACATTTATGTCTGTTCTTTCATAATTTTTTCGTTCATTTCTTATGAATGGAAGGCCTTGTCCGCACAGAGATAGGTTTACGAAACTTAACTTTCGTGCAAAGTTCCGTGAACTTTTGCTAGTAGTGTTGACAGGGCTTTCCCAAAAAATGTGTTCAACACTAGTAAACGCGTCTCATGCCCCCTCCCCCGCTGGCACGTTCGTTTGATGGTTTTCATTGATGTTTCAAAACGAATGAGAAGGGGGCGGCAAAATACAGGCGGCCCATGGGTGGCAAGTAGGTAAATCCGGCCCTGGACACATGTTCAGGTCAATCTTAGATCCGATTATGACCGAATCATGATGCATTTCGCAAGACACCAGACCTTCGATGAGTAAAATATCGTAGAGTCTAGGAAATTTAGGGAAGAAGGGCCAAAATGGCCCTTATCGATACATCCTTCGTAAATATTTCCCTTCTAATTTTTTAGGGGATTAAATTCACGATTTAAGTTATGAAGATAATTTTATGAAAAATACTCATTAATTTCCTTCAAAATAAATATATTGTCATGAGAAGTTTGACATCCTTCCTCAGCTCGGTAGAGTGGACCTCAAGACAGGTTACGAAATTTGTACAAATTTCCTTTCCGAAATTTCAAAACCCCAACAAACTGAGTTATCTAATTTACTATCCATATTTTTTGGCTGATAAAAATTGTCATTGCTTGTTACAGCCGGCCGGAAATTAAGAGCTCATTCTCAGACAAAGTTCAAATCCTGGTTGTTCTATGCCCTAGAATTTTTACGACAGGAGTATCCTCAACAATCTAACACAATTTATGCGGAAATACATCAAAAAATACTATGCTAGGTAAGCCTCTTTTTCTCCCTCAAAGAAATTACTTATTAATTACCATTGCTAATCATCTTATGTTATCTTTTAGAATTCCAATGGACCTCTAGCCATTTATTCTTTTGAACATTTTACGCAAATCACGATGAACGCAATTTTTCTCCAAATTCAACCCACAAGTGAGAAACACGTTTCTTGTCTACATTAATTCACACAGCCTGCTCAAAAAAAAAAACAGAAGTCTACCCAGTCAAATCAAGCATTATAATCTAAATTCGGTATTATTTACGACGGAAGAATTTTTATGTGTAGAGAAAGGAAATGAGTGTGAAACAATGTTCGATTTGGGATGTGTAAAACGGAATCATGCAGCTCTTCGTTCAACACTTGATTCAACAACCACTTGCGCTCACCCGTATGTTTCTTGCCTATGCGGAAAAATTGAAGGTGAACTTCAAATTGATGATAACTATCATCAATAGGTTAGCAAAATCGTTTATTGGCTCAATCAAAGGTAACGCTGCGATAATGTGTATCCATCGAGTAGATGTGCAGAGAACTATTCGAGTCTATCTCGGTATATTTCTTGCCTAAACGATGAAATTGAAGGCGAATCTCGAGTGGGCGGCGCTGATGTGGCAATAAGTTCACGCATTGCTATTGATATTTAGTTTATTTCATTTTCCGAGCAAAAAGCTGCCGATGTAACATCAAGTAGGCAAAAAATTACGTTGACCTCTAAACATAACTTTTATCTCGCCTTCGCTTCGATTTTTAGTGCGAGACCTCTAATCTAAGATATACTTATTGTCTCTAAGCGTGGCCAATGAATATGTGGCCGAGGGCCAGATTTGCGTTCAAGGGCCCTACATGCTGGTCGTTAGGAGCCCCGAATCAGGTTAAGGGCTTCTCTAAATCAGTTTTTAGACTCCAAGGACCCCTAGAAGATCTGGAATTCTGGAAAAAATCCCAGGGAGACCCGCGGGGCCGGACCACTCGAAACAACTTTTTCGATATTCCAGATCTTCGAGGGGTCTTTGGATTCTAACATACGAACTCAGAGAGGCCCTGAAACAGGAATTTCGCTGGTCTTGCGGTAAAATTTTGGGATTTGGGGGCCCTAAGAACCAGCACCACGGGCCCGGAACGCTAAACCGACACTGGACCGTTTATTCATTGGTCACGTACAGAGACAAAACATCTTAGATTTGAGGCCTCGCAGTAGAAATCTAAGCGAGGATGAGGGAAAAGTTGAACTTAGAAGTCAACGTTTTTTTGCCTAATAGATGTTGGATTGACAACTTTTTGAACAGAAAATCAAAAAATAAACCAAGTACCAATAGCAATGCGTGAACTTATTGCCACAACAGTGCCACTCACTGAAGATTCGCCTTCAGTTTCACCGTATAGGCAAGAAACATACCGAGAAGTTCGAATAGTTACTTAATACATACACATTTATGTCGCAGCATTAGCTTTGATTGAGTCAATGAATGATGCTGCGAACCTATTGATGATAGTCATCATCCATCTGAAGTTCGCTTTCAATTTTTCCGCAAAGGCAAGAAACATAACAGGCAACAGCAAAGCGAGAGTGAGGGAAAAGTTAAGTTCGGAGCTCAACGTTAGTTTTTGCTTATTAGATGTTACATCGGCAACTTTTTGAACAGAAAATCAAATTAACGAATTCCGAATAGCAATGCGTGAACTTATTGCCACATTAGCACCACCCAATCTGGTCCTGGAGCAGCTAAGAAATGGTGGTGCCGGGGTTGGGGGTTTTTAATCGATTCTCTTGAAAAATCGATTTGTTAAACCAAAGAAAATCGACAAATCGCATCGATTTAGTTGCGTTCGATTACTTCGATAAATCGTATAAATCGATTTTCCCCCTCAAAATCGAAAATTCCGACTTTCGCTGCCCGAATTCCGCATGTGAGCTGATCTTTTGACCCACATTATAGTAAACTTCAGCAAATTTTCGTTCGATTTTTTCTAAGGGTGCGAATTTTGAGCTTTCGTACTTTCCGAGTTTATAAAAAGATTTTTCGGCAAATTGATTTTCTAAGCAACCATCGCATTTTGTTCGAAGTTGTTCTGTGTTGTGGGGCCGGGGCTTATTTTTGCGCGCAAAATTTGGAAACCCCTCGTCGTTTTTAAGTTGTTTCCCAAGACAGCGCTGTTTTCTGACCTAAAATTGGAATTCGCTTTCTCATTGGTCGTTCAGAATCACGCAAAAGAAACAAGAAAAAAAAACAGAAGCAATTGGTTGTTTCGTACAAAATACGACTACTCTAGGTAGTAGGTAAAGAAGGGACCCTCCCTTCTGTACCTTAGAAGCGTAAATGAGGTGAGGGCGGGAGGGGAGCGGAGGGCGGGNGGGGGGGGGGGGGGGGGGGGGGGGGGGGGGGGGGGGGGGGGGGGGGGGGGGGGGGGGGAGGAAGCGGACACGGAAGAAGCGAGGAAGAAAGAGGGCGAAATGATGTCTATATCAATTCATAAAGGAGGCAATTAATAGGTATTATGACTGGGCAGTGGGATGGGACCGCCACCGGTGGAGGATTCCTTCCTGGCTGTCCTGTGGCTGTGGCCGCGCCGCGGTGGCGCACAGTGCGGCACCCTTATGGACGATGCGGACAAAAATCGGCAAAAGACACTTAACTTTAAATAATGAAGATAACAGCACCGACATAGGAAAACCCTTTGGCACTATCAAAGTAAAACGCTCGAGGAATAAGAAAATGTTATACCTCAGGTTTTTTTGCGTATTTTTCAAGAAAAGTTCATTCGAAGTTGGCAACCTCGAATTAGCCATGTGCTAACAATGTAAAAGCAACGTGAAACACCCAAACTTTAACTTCAAATATCTCTGATAGTCGCAAAGAGTCGCAAGATCTTTTTCGTAGAATTGAAGTTGGATATCTGAGGATTAAGAAAATGTCAACCACCCAGAGCATTTTGCGTTTCAAGCGAGAAATCTCCATTTGAAGTTGACGTCTTTTTTCCGTGTATTTCTTACGGACCAGTGATTCCCGACCTACTTCCTGACCACTTTCTACCCACGTTTGAGGTAGTTTTGAGCGGAAAATTAGAAAATGAACCATCATAGTGAGTCAGAAATATCTTTAAGATAACAAATTCCGAAAAAAATATTCAGATGTCGAGTTGTGAATGTTTGACTTTTGTCCACAGAGGGCGGCACTGTGTGGCGGAGGGGCCCCGGCTGGGCCCCGGCCCGGGAGTCGGGGCCCTCTGCCAGTGCGCCCGCGTATCATGGAATAGAGATCTCCCGCTCGGGCCGAGTCGAGCCGAGCCGAACCGCCGCTTCCACCGATGATTCATGGTTCGGCCGCCACAGCGCTGCTACTGTTTTCACTGTTCTCTCTCAAATCCACCGAGCGGCAGTTGCCCGCCTCTATCATGTCCCCGAGTAGTCGCGAAAAACACACGTGTTTGACCACTCACGCACTCCGCTTCCAGTTTCGGATCGAGTTGCCCGTCCCCGCGTCTTCGCCCATCACGAAATTTCAAAGTGCGCGAATTTCGCTCTCCCAAATTTCGTCCCTTCTCTCGATTGTGTTGTGAATTAGTTCCGTGGCCCATTCTTGCATTTATTTACGACTTGGGATTTTCTTCAAGATCCAATTGCAGGAAACGCTTTGAGTGTTCGTTTCGAATTCGGAAGGATCGTGTGTGCCGACCGTTCGACTGTTTCATACAAGTGTGCGTGGATTTGTTTGTTTTTTTTTTTGGTTTTTTTTTGGAGCGTGTGACGAATTTTCCAAAAATAAAGGCGCCTCTCTGATCAACTTGTTTAATCTAGGTGTTTTGACGGTTGGACCGCGCTGCGGGATATAAATAGTGGAGCCGTCGTATAAGGCAAAGTTGCATATTTAGTTGCGTCTCACCTTCGGATATTCTCGCACGGGCTTTTTAGAATTTCTACCCAGCGTCGACGGATCCGAGAGCCGGCCGTCGTCTGGTCCAATTTCGTCGAGTGCGTCTCGCTTCTGGATTCGCTGGTACGTCGATGCCCAAATCTGACAGTCCGGTCTGGAAAATGATCACCTAAGTGAATTTTGTTGTGTTGCGTTTTTTAGCTAGATTTCCCTCCAATAAGGTTTCCCCCTCTTGAATTTGTCGGCATTCGGCTGGTGCGCTAATTTAAGCCTGGATTGTGTCTTTTGAGCGTAGTGGCGCCGATCAGGAGTCTGAATCGTTTTGAAAATGGATTCGATGCGGATAATATTAGAGGGAGTGAGTGAAAGGCAGGCTTAGGAGTGTGACTCGAGCTGGAATCGAAGAAGATCGATCGGCGGCTGGACTAGCGGGTGTTTACACTCTGGAAGCGTGCATCGCGGTTTACGGTTTTGCTGGCAACTAAAAATAAATCGCTCACCCTTATCGGAGCGCCGAGTGCAAGAGTCGCGGCTCGCCCCTTAGGAAAACAAGAGGGCCGGCCAAGGGGAGCTTGTTAATTGATCGCAGAATTCGGGATGCTAGTCCGTGTCGAAATGTCCTAGCGAGATGAAAGAGTTGAGGAGCTAGCCGTGAGAATAAACACTGGATAAGAAATGTAAATTTGAGTGTGAAAATGTCGGGAGCGTAGTTCGGAGACTATTTTTAGTAGTTCATAGACCTCGGCGACGGGTCCTGGCGGGAGAAGCAGACGCTGAGCGCTACCAACTGTCGCTGCGGAACGGACCCCGCTCGAAATGGCGCCCAGACGAGGGCCGTCGCGACGCCCCGAGAAGATGCACCCCGCCGCGAGGATCGGTGGACACACAGGACTCATCTCCAACGACTTCCCGAAGGAAAAGCTCTGGTGAAAGCCGACCCAGTTTGAGAAGAGAACCGCGTCACGCAGAACTCTGTGTCAGGATATGACGTCATTCGAGGAGCCGACGGAAAGACTTGTTGACAGAGACAGCGACACATCGGAGACCGAAGCACGCCGAGGATCCAATGGGCACAAGCGACCCAGACTGACGCTCGCTCTCCTTCTCGTCTTCCTCCTCGCCTGGGTCTCCTGGGTCTCAGCCACGCCGCTCCACTACAAGTCCGCCGACAACGTGAGAACTTTAACCAATTACGGCCCGAGCCGCCCTCGCGCCATGTTGGACAAATCCCTAGTCAGCTACAGCAACAGAAGCGCCCCCGCGTCCACGTCGACGGAGGGCGCGCTGCGGCGGAGCTCCCGGACCTCGGGGCGACGCACGTACCAGGGCGCCTGGTCGCCGAGCAACTACCTCAAGGCGCCGCGGCTCTCGGGGGAGGCGATGCCGGTCTGCTCCCACGTGGGCGACTACACGAACGAGATCTCGGCCAAGGCCTACCTGGCCGGCACCGTCTTCGAGGGCAAGGCCCGCTCCAAGAGCAAAGTGAGCAGCGAGGGGAGCTACGCGGTGACGTTCGTCGTGCAGCGGGTGCACAAGGACCAGACCTCCCGGCTCAACCCGACGCCGCTGCGGCTCCGGAGCCAGGTGAGGCTCACCCTCAGCGAGAAGCCGAGGGTCGGGAAGTTGGCCGAGTGCGACCAGAGCTACGACATCGCCCCGGCCCGGCCCGGCGAGCTCGTGAGGGCCCACATCAAGCAGGGGCGCAGGTACATCGTCTTCGTCAACGGCGTCGGCCCCCACAACTACACCGTCCTCGGCGAGCCCGTTCTCCAGAGGAAGAAGACCGTCCAGGCCGTCAAGGATGTCCTCTGTCCCAAATGTGGTGAGTTCTCCCTCTAACTACTCCATCTCTATCACCGTCTAACCAAGCTATCAATGTACCGAGATCAGGGCTCTCATTTACAATCAGAGATCTCTATATCATCACCTTCCAGGCAAAGTATCACAAGCGCCATGCGACGTTTAAAAATTTCCGCCGTCATTTTATTTTTTTGCTGAGAGATTGTTGGTTGAATCTGTTTGGAAATTTCACTAAATTTTATCGGCAGCACAAAGAAAATTCAGTGGAATTTTAGGACAGCTTCGTTGAACAATTTCTCTGTAAAAAAATAAAATGGCGGCGGAAATTTTTAAACGTCGCATGGCGCTTGTGATACTTTGCCTGGAAGGTGACGATATCATCAAATTACTGCTGTCCGCAGTAGTTTGATAGGACACTCATCTCTGATCGGCGCGCGAGAACCCATCTGCGCTGCTCCCTCACAAGTTTGACAGCTTCAGTTTGAAAGTGTGACCCGGGCTTCAGGGTCCGTTCATGAAACACGTAAAACTTTGGGGGGATCTGAGCCTGCATTATGGATGCGCTACAAGGGCGAGAAGAAGCATTCAGGGTTGCGTCCCGATCAGCTACACTTGGGCGCGCAACTCAGATTTTTCAAAAATCCAAGATGAAAAATCGACGCGAAGTGACAATTTTTCATCCGAAATTCATTATGAAACGCCAATGGGAGAGGATCGAAAAGAGTGATAGAATTTTATTAGAGCTAAGTTACGGTAGGAGATAGGGGGGATGCAATTTTCAGCGTTACATATTTCATGAGTTGTCCCTAGCTGCTTTTTCATAACTGGACTGAATTTTGCAATTTGGAACTATAAATTATGGCCCGGTTTAAAAACAATGTATGTGCCATTAGTTTCTCTACGCACATAAGTGTTTTTTCAGATGAGCCTGAATTTATAGTTCCAAATTGCAAAATGTAGTCCAACTGTGTCTCAAACGTCACACCAAACATCTAGTGCGCAGCAAGTCAAGAGGCCAAGATGGAGTTTTAAGGCGAACCTTGAAATTTCCTTGACCCTGAAACCTTTCTGAGCATTAACTGAAAGATAACTCAGAGAGATGAAGGAGCATAACGGTAAAGATCCATTCCCCTTTCGGGAGGGTTAACACGGTGAAATCAAATTCGGCATCATGCGCACCCCGAAAAGCTCGGCAGTTGGAGCTGAGATTTTCGGTCCCGGCTGCTGGAATTTGGCAAAACTGTTGACTTCTCGGCAACGATATTCCAAAGTTTCGGAAATTTGGCCAAATTTCAGCAACCTGGACCGAAAAAATCAGCCCCAGCTGCCGAGATTTTTGGAATGACATCTGATTAGTGCGGCTGCACACAATCACGACTTTTCTGGAGGTCTGTACCCTCAGTGCCCCCTAACTACACTTCCTCACTTGCACCGAAATCTACATGCATGAGAGATTTTAAGGAGATAAAAATCCCGCAAATTCAAAGTGAAGTCATTCTACTTTCGAGCTGGCGTTCAAGCTAACTGAGAGTAAGATTTATCCTAAGTCTGGTGCATTCTACCCCTGAGTCTTTTAAAATCGTATAAGCTCGCAGGTCAAGCGAGAGGAAATCGCATATTTTTTTCCAGTCTCTAAGCTTTTTCGAGAAAAAGTGGACGGCATCAAAAGAATTAGCGTGTACTAAATCAGAGGTTGCCGAATTTCCTCGTACTGTTCCTCCGAAAACTACGTCTGATTCTGCGGTAAAATTTTGCGAGTGCATTGCTTTTAATCTAGGGGAAAGGCACGAAAATTTTCCCAGAATTATGTTTAATGGTTTTCCTATAAAAATATGGAGAGAAAATTGGGTAACGTGAAACCAATGTCAAACTGATGCCTGTCGAATTCAACCAACTGTAAAATGTCGATCAAGGGTAGGATTTGAGTCGGTCAGATGACATGTGTTGTCCGCCTATGCACCTCATTGCACCCTTTACGTCATTAGAGTGTGAATCAGATTAATCGGTTCTACGATACTTTTTACTCTTTAAATTAATTAATCGCTTGCGCTTGCTAATTTATGCTTGCGTTGAAAAATATTATTGAACGAAAATATTACCTTTTGCGCATCGTACAAATATCGTATCGCACAGTCACAGATAGGTATGAGATCTTGGGCAACTCAATTTTATTACAATTTGACAGAGCATAGTGATCAAGTTGTTCCGCAGTTTTACAGCTGTAGGAGCGTTCCAGCTTTAATTATTTTCTTTTCCCCTTCTTTTTCAACACTATTCTCTCCTTTTTATCTTTCAATTTGCCCCCTCTTATGTGCGATTCTTTTTTTTCTCTGGTCCCTAAAACACCTTCCAGCTAGTGGATTAAAGTTACGACGATTTCGGCCCGCAAGTCTGCTGCGCAGGTTAGTGACCAAAGTCGGCATAACTAAACTTCCCCTGTCGGATCTTTATGCCGCCTTTGGTTGCCAACTTGCGCGGCAAACTTCCTCTTCCCTTTTTCCAGTCGAGATAATTTTTTTTTTTTTTTTTTTTTTTTTTTTTTTTTTTTTTTTTTCTTTTACAAGTTAGAACTGGGATAGGACAGAATCCCAGTCGAGGGCCTGATCTAGAACTTTAAAAAGGATATTCGACTGGTTAGGTGGAATATCCAAAGTAGCATTTTTCAACGGAGAAATTGGGATACATAATATAATATATTGCAATAATATATACAATAATATATTGCAATTTTATCGGCGATATAATCGCTGGGATCATCAACATCTGAGTGATTATCCTCGATCTTATCGGGATAAAATCGCGATATTATCACCCGGCAATTTATCGCTATATCTTTGACATAAAAATCGCGACAAATGGCGATTTAATCTCGATTTTATCGAACCAAAAGTTTTGATGTGTAGCAATTTATTCGCTATACATCGCAATTTTTAATGCGATAATATCTCAATATATTGCCACCGATATAATCGCGCCAACCAACCGATAAAATCGGTATCAATCGCTACTACAATTGAGATTGGCGTAGATTTACAGAAGTGCGAACTCGCATCCCATCGACATTAATACGGTGCCTAAAATATGTTGCCGTTACTTACCTTATTGTAAAAAATACAATAGTTTGAGTTAATTTTGCAACCTTGGAATGGAGCTAGTTTCCTTCGTGCGGTAAACGACGAATTACTGTGGTTAGCCCTCGTGCTACAGAATTTCTGTTTAAGAAAGGAGATTTATCGACAATTTTGGCAGCTGCGGTGGGAGTTAGCACCTCATTTGAGGTGGATTTGTAGGCATAGCTAAAATTCTTGCCCCGATCGACGGAGAATTAAGTTGCGTCCGTTTCGAAATCCATGGACCGGCGGTTGGATCAGCCGCGGAATGCGGGCCCAGTAACCTAGTGGCACCTGTGCGCATGCGCGACAGGGCTTTCATGTTTGCGCTCCGCAGGGAAAAGAAGAATAAAATGTTGTACGAGGTTGATTTGCCTATTGCAAAAACCACAGCAAAGGGAGGTCAAGGTTTCGCTCCGGTGTTTTGCGGAATGAGTCGCGGAAAGCAAACTGTCCGGACAAGGAGCTCTAACTGAAAGGAGAAAAAAAATCGTCGAATTTTAAACTCTGTTTCCACGTTCGAAACGGGACATCGCGGTGACCGCCGAGTGTTGTCCCATCAAACGTCAGCGACGCTCTTTTTCGATCAGCATAAATCGCGAACAGAGTATCAAACGACATGTTCAATACAATATCAAACGACATGTTCAATACAGTATCAAACGACATGTTCAATACTCTCTGTTCGCGATGTTCATGTTCATCAAAAAGAGAGGCGCCTTCATGTTTTGATGGGCAACCCTCCACACTCAACAGTCGTATCGCTGTCCCATTTCCATCGTAGAATCAGAGGTCAGTGCCATCAGACTTTTTTTTATAAAAAAATAATACTTTTCATAGCTGTCGAAAACATTGGTTACCCGGATCCAAGTTCGGTTATTACATCTTACCGGAAAGTTCAGTTACTCGAATCGACAATTTTGGTTCCCTTAATCGAAAAGTGGTTGGGGGGTAAACACGGGCTGGACGAATTCAACCAAAATTTGCCTAACTGCATTCTGCACTCCCTGAACTTGCACCTCAAATTTGCAGGTTAAATTTTTGCTAGTATTTGCGCGAGAATTCTGTAAAAATATTGTCCCAAGGTACACAAGTTTTTCTGCTATGATACGTTGTTTCCAACAAATGTAAAATGGGGTTTACGGGGTTTTTGCGTTGCTTGGCAGAATCTGAGTTACGATTGTTGTGATGGAAAAGGACGGATTGACGGACAGCCCCTCATGCGCGGTGGAGAAGATCTCCCGAAGTCTGCGCAAGCGACAGAAAACTAGAAGTATAGCCGTAATAGCGTGCTAAACATTAGTCTCACAGATTTTCATGTTCGCGGAGCTCCCGAGGAGTGGAGGATTTACGAGTGGATTTAAAATTAGAAATTAGTTTAGCGTGATGATTTTTCGATGAGCTCTTTTCGCTCGCGACGGGAAAACAATAGGCGGCCGGGCCGGGCGGGTCGGGGCGGAGGGGAGCGGTTTTATTAAAGTTATGTAATTGTTTGCCGCCGGGCGAGACTCAACATTGAAAAGATGAAAACATCAAGTGGGTCAAAAAATATAGGTTAATAATGCCGCGGCAGAAGCGCGCTTCTTCTGCTCATTTAAAAATATAATTTGGCTTCTGGTGCGAGGCTCATAATTCGTAAGGGTGGAGCGGCGACTCGCGACTCACCCGGGGTCAGGAACCCCCGAGTCGGGGCCGTCCAAGGTGCTTGCGCTTCCCGCGCGCCGGGCGCCCGCCACAATTTTCTCCACACGAAAATATCTCCCGAGCCCGAGCCCAAATGCAGCTGCCGCCACCGTCATTTTAAAGCAAAGCAATTTTGTCTTTGCGCCGCTCCATCATCTCGCCCAAGCCAAGCAAGAGCCTCCTATACTCCCGTCCTAAGCAACAACGCCGTATGAGCCTCCAGCAGCTGCCAAGTTTCTTTTCCTA